ACCAGTGTGTGAATGAATAGTGGCATTGTAAAGCGCTATATAGATGCAATTCATTAAATGTACACACTTTTGGTGATTTTAATATCATATGAAAAGAAAAAACATACTTGAATGGTGCAAATAAAATACTGTTAAAGAACTAATAAATAACAAATGTTTTCCCTCCCTTTGTACTCCTCTCTACTTTTATACTCATCTCCACCCATCATTTCCCCAGACCGAACAGCTCTGAAGCATCCACCTTATTTTTTGTTTTGTTTTTCATTGATTTGTTTAGGTTTATTACACTTTTTTTATTACACTGAGTAGTTTAGCTTGAGAAGATTCAGTTCAGCTTAACATAATTTTATATATAAACAAATTCCTCCTAATTATTAACATAAAAAGTTATAGGTGACTATGCACTTTGCAGCATGAGTCCCTGTGACAAAGGACCTAACGCACACAGTGCACAAGTCCTCTAGTACAATAAAAAGACTGGATGTTTAGGTTGTCTATATAGCGCTCTAGAAATGAGAGGATCCTAAATAACAGAGTAGGGAATTTTCCTGTCTGTAAGACATAAAGTTCCTTAGCGGTAATTTGCACGAACCTGAAAATATTTGCAAATACAAAAGGAATGACTGTTTTATTACCCTGAGCCACTCCAAGAGCTCCGAACACTCCCACCCTTGTGTCCCTCTTCCAGGAAGGGTATGTCATGTTGTAGTACTCCACAGAATCACTGGTCCAGTCACTCAGCCACAAATTCTGACCGATGAAAGCAGCGGTCTGGATGAAGTAAATCAGGAAAACCATGGCAGAATATCCCCAGCCCATGGCTCGCAGGTGCTGCAGGAACACTGCAAGCTTCACCTGGAAATCAGCGCGAGACGGCACTCAGGAAACAAGCAATCATTTGTTGTAATCTTGCGCTAGTTGTACAACAACATTTTGTTACCTGTCCTGTTTCCATAGTTTCCTTCTCTATAAGCTTCTGGCCTTTCTGTGGTTCATCAGCATTTGCAGATTTTTTAATGGAAATATTTCTTCTTAATCTGACACTAAAAAAAATAGAGGAAAAGAATGAAATGGACATTCTGCTAAAGATGCTATTTGAGACAAGCTGTTTCATTGGTTTCATCTGCAACTTTAACAAGCTCGAACCTGCCATTGCGCTGGCTGCGGCGGATGCTGTTTTCTCGCCTCAGTGTAAGAGAAACAGTATCCTCCGAAGCACCGTCAGGTTGGGCATCGTCTCCATCTGGGATGAGCTCAAAGTCTTCTGCGTCCTGGCCCTCACCTAAATTAACAATATACATGGTGTTTTTTATATATGGCAGTAATTTATGGTATTTGGGTCA